GAAGGCTTTATTCTTTCAATCTTAAGCTCCCTCTGACACCATTTCTCCCTCTCCAGAGCCAAATCCACAGTGTCTGACCTCAAGGAGAATGCTCCTCTAGTATGAAGGAGGCTGAGGTAGGCTCTCAGAGGTATGAGCTCCAGGATCATGAGATTGCCTGCTCTAATCTTAGAGCCCTGTCAGAGTGAATAGGGAAGAAGTGGAAGGGTCAAACCCAATAACTGCTACTTTGTGGATCAGGGAGCCTGTAAAGAGAAATTTGTCCATTTGCCTCTCATTTCCTAACAACTTTCAGCTATGTTCTTAACCATGAAACTGCCCCAGGTATTGGCTAATTTGAAACTTGAAATGATGATGATAATAATAAAGCTTTTTAAATTTGCTATGAAGTCCTTCTTTGTTTTCTCACATGTTGTTGTTATGTGCCGTTGAGTCACTTGCAACTCGGCGACCTTATGTACAAGAGCCCTAAACCTTACTCTACCCTGTGCCAACCTCATTGTCTTGGACACATCTACGCCCACTATCCCAATCACTGAATTGATCTATCTCATCGAGGGTCTTCCTTTCCTGCACTGTCTCTCCACTCTGCCAAATGTGATGTCCCTCTCCAAGGACTGGTCCCTCCTTGCAACATGCCCAAAGTATGTCAGACAAAGCTTCAGAATCCTTGACTCTGGCTTCACACTCTCTGGACAAGCCTGTTTGTTCTCCTAGCAGTCCATGGTATATTCAATACTCTTCTCCAGCACCACAGCTCAAAGGCGTCAATTCTCTTTCTATTATCCCTAGTCACTGTCCTACTCTCCAATGCATAGCACACAATTGTGAAGACTAGGGCCCGATCTGGCATACCTTAGTCTCCAGCCTGATGTCGTTGCTCTTCAGTACTCTGGAGAGGTCCCTGACAGCTGACTTTCCCAGTGCAGTTCGTCTCTTGATTTCTTGGTTGCTGGTACCAAGAGTGTTGACTGTGGAGCCAAGCAAACTAAAACTGTTAATGATCTCAATCTCTTCACCATCCATACTGATGTTGCCAATTGGCCCATTGGTCCATTTATTAGATATTTCACAGAATCTCAATAGATTGTGATAAGTTGTTTCTGTTGGAAAGATTTGAGCTACGTACTGTCTCAACTTCATCCTAGAAGTTAGAGGAGGATAGATTGGATGCATGGCTGAGAGTGAGCTTTGCTAGAACATCTATATATATATATATTGAGTGCAGGCCACATCCCAAGGATACTTTTCTTTCAGTGATTGACTGCTTATATAAGATCACAGAATAAAGGATGATTTCATAAAAGCTGTCAAATCACATCAAATCATGGCCTAGTCAAGTTGACACATATCATTACCCATCACATTCAACCCCTTATCAACACTTTGGCACCTGTGCACATATCTTTAGACCACACATATTCTCTAAATATGCACCAGTAGTCAGGAAATCAAGAAGAATGGCACAGGGAAAACCTGCTGTCAGGGACTTCTCCAGAGTACTGAGCAGTAATGATGTCAATCCAAAGACTAAGGTGCGCCGGATCCAGGCCATAGTCTTTGCAATTGCTATGCATCAGAGAGCTGGATAATGACTAAGGATGACAGAAGAAGAATCAATGCCTTTGAGTTGTGCTGGAGAAGAGTCTTGGACATACCATGGACTGCTAAGAAAACAAATAGGTTTGTCTTAAGGTGAAACCAAGTTTCTCCTTGGAGGTTAGGATTTTGAAGCTGTCTCACATACTTTGGGTACACGGCCAGCAGAGACTGGTCCTTGGAGAAGGACATCATGCTCAAAAGGGTGGAGGGACAGTGCAGGAGATGAAGATTCTAGATGAGATGGATTGATACTGTAACCAGGGAAGTAGGGGTAGATGTGTCAGAGTCCATGAGACTGGCTCAGGACAGGGCAGGCTTCAGAGCTGTTGTACATAGGGTCACTTTGAGTAACAGGCAACTAGACAACACATAACAATATTCTTGAAATATAATTATTGTTGTTGTTATATGCCATCAAGTCGTCTGCAACTCTTAGCGACCCTGTATACAACAGCCCTAAACCATGCTCTATTCTGTGCCATTCTTATTGTCTTTGACACGCCTACCCCCATTACCCCAGTCACTAAATAAATGCATCTCATTGAGGGTCTTCCTCTCTTGCACTGTCCCTCCACCCTCTCAAGCATGATGTCCTTCTCCAAGGACTGGTCCCGCCTTGCAACATGGCCAAATTACGTCTGACGAAGCTTCAGAATCCTTGCCTCCAAGATCATCAAAAAGCCTGGTGAATCATATCACTTTGGCTGTAAGAGGAATGCATGGGAATTAATTCTAAAGATCCTAGGGACCAGGAAACTCCCTATACCCTCTGTATATCCTGTCCATCAGCATTTTCTCTGTCCACCTAGTGCATGGCATCAGAGACTCATTCCTACATTACAGTAACTGTAATGGCTAGTTTGGGCCCTCCCAGTTATTATGGAGTAATTACTACAACCTCTGGTGGCTTAGTCTATAAGGAGTTGTGCTGCTAATCCAAAGCCTGTGCCTCTCTGGGGTTCAAATCCACTAACTCTGTGGGAGAAAGATGAGCAATCTTCCCCCATTGGTTACAGCTTCAGGAACCTAACAGGTATATATGTTGGTTCTAACTCAACAGCAATGAGTGAGTAGCAGCAAGCAAATCACATGGTGGCATGAGTTTCTTATCAGAAAGTTCATTTTCCTAATCTGATTTTGCATGTTTTGCATATTTCCTGAGTGTGCATGCAAACCATTGCTTGAGAGTTGGCCTGTCTACCACCTGTAGTTGTCCAGTGTTGGGAGAAGCAGTGGCGATTACATTCTTTTCCCAGAAGTTCTTTTGCAACCCAGAATCTGTTAGCTCCATGGGGTTTGTGATTATATGCAAAATTGAGCATGTTTATGTATAAATGAGAGTTTTGAAGGAGGCTCCCTAGCTTCCATAGGAATCTCTTTTATTTTTTTCCATAGGAATCTCAATGAGGGCTACGAACTCTTTCTCCCAAGTCATAAGCCACTGCATTGCTATTGTTAGGTACTATCGAGTCAGTTTTTGACTCCTCATGACCCCATATAACAGAGTAGACTTACTCCACTAGGTTTACTTTATGTAAAGTTTATGGAATCAGACCACTTGACCTTTCTTCTGCCAGGTTCTTGGCTGAGTTTGAACCACCACCTCTGGGTATCAGCTAAGCAATTAACCATTGTTCCATTAAAGCCATTTCATTGCTTTATATTTAATAGAAGGTTGCCATATGCTTCCCCAAACCTCGCCTTTTCCAGAGTCTCAAAAGAGCAAAGGCTGTATTATTGGTTTATAATTTTTTCTTTCTTATTTTATTTAAATG